GTCCAAATAATACTTCATAACAGAATTGAATTTCTTCTCACAGCATCCATCTGTATTGACTTTCAATGCACTAAGCCTACAGATATCTGTTTTTTCTACCATTTCCTCCATTTCTCTCCCAACACATCTCAAAGGCTTGGGGATGGTTTTCTTGATCTCTGTTTTCCATCTGGAGGTATTTTCTCACATATTTCCCACATTCTTTCAGTTTGGTATATATTTACATTTTTTCCTCTGTATTTCAACTTTACTCTCACTAATTTTATTGACTAACTGATTTTTGCACATTCCATTCAACCTCACTTGCTAAATGAAAACTTCAAAGCCATAGGGGGATTTTTTTGTTTGTTAAACATTGTGTATTTACATAACAGCACATGTTGGCAACTATCAACAGCAGGTTTTTAACATTAGACCTGTAGCTGAAAACACACTGAAAAACGAGGCCATATAAATTTTAAAAAATTCTGTTTACTTCTTGGCTTTTGACATTTGTGGTGTGTTAAGTTAGTGTTCACCATCAGTGTTCATTATACACAAATATTTAAACCATATTTCATTACAAGGGATTTAAAAAAATAGATATAAACTCACAGATTTTTAAGAGACAAACTMGTTTTAAAGAGAACTGGTACACACATGTGATTCTTCTGCTTTAAACTGTTTCCTCTCAAAGTAGCTGTRTCTCTCCAAAACGGTGGAACTTCACAGGTCCTTTTTACTCAATGTTAGACCCTCCTCTGTCACTTGTGTGAAACACCAGCAGCCTTTGCATTCACTCTTCAGTCTCAATGTGTCACATTATGTGGAAATATGACTTTTTAGAATCCACCCTGAGCAACAAGCACATGCTGCCTCAGCCTTTATTTATGGACTCTGTACCATTTCCTCTAGACTCATAGCTTACTGCACACAACTGGCTAAGCAATCATCTTGCAGTGGCAGCTCACTATGCTCTTTTTTTTTTCCTGCAAAACCACTGAGCTGGACTGAAGAAGCTRTACTGCTGCTAATGTGAGCATTGGCTCCCTGAAGCACAGCTATGTCTTTTTGAAAGATGATGTTCCTTCAGTTCCGTGGTCTCCTGCTTTAACTGTGCTTGCAGTCAGCAAAGGTAATAAATGTAAGCTGTRAGGGAGACAACAGAGGTGTAGGATCTAAACCATGTTAGCACCTTAGACAAAGTACAGCTGTGCAATGGACAGCTCTGAGGAGATTGTCAGAATATACCTGAGCTAGTTCAAAACTGTTACTGTGACTTCGCAGGAAATAGCTGTGGCAGTAAGRAGATCCTTGCAGACTGCAAAATCTGTCCTAGACCAAGGCAAATATTTGAGATGTTTCCCAACCTGAGCTTTGTGTTGCAGCAATGACTTTTAAACCTGGTTCAGACATATCTGTATGGTATTTGGACATATCCAAAGACCTGATTTGCAAGACTATACACATGTATATATGCACTGAACACAGATAATGACAATGCAAMTGAAAATCTGTTTGGCGATGAATTTGGCGATGAAATCTTAAAGGTAGCCCAATGTTCCTGCTACTGATGGCTCTGCCATTGCCTATGTTGCCTAAAAATGAAAAGACGAAGAAAACCGAGCCAAACTCCTGCTGTTTCTTCCTAGGAAATTCAGTCTCAGTAGTTTGTTTAAGCCAACTTCCTGATCAAAGTAACTATCCAAGCCCATACAGAGATCACAGATTTTGTGCAGTTTATGCAACCAKGAACATAGAATTAAAACCAAATATTTTACTAAAAGAGTTTGAAAACACAGAGGGAAATAAATAGAGTCAATAAATTCACAGCTTGCTTTAGGGTCAGTCCATGAGTAAATTAGGTACATTAATTTAATTAGAGTTAAATTTGGAAGAAAAATATTTCTTTCTCACTGACATTAGCTCTATTAGAKATTTAAAAACACATACTAAAATGTAAAGCAAAGCTACAAATACCTAGAATTTTACTTTGCTTCCCAAGTTTTGAATAAAAATGTACAGCTTTTATTTTTAAATTCTWTATATGGTACAGCAAGTAAAATATTATAGTAACTGCTATATTTACTTCAAATAGTACMAAATTATAGAATAATATAAACATGCAGTATTTGGTTTATGTAATTTTATTACAATAAAATTTACTTAGTTCTGAAATCTACCTACTCTGTAACTTCAATAAGAAACCTTAGAAATTTGAATAGGTTTTTACAGGTGAAGAAATATAAAGATAAATATTGCGCTTTCTTACTTGCTGGCCATTGACTGAATAATGAATGAAAAACAATCAGTCCTGTACTGCTTGCCTTTGTGCAATTATGTTCAGGCTTGTCTGAATTCAGAYGCCATCCTTCAAGACAACTTTTCGCAGAACTAGGCTTGTAAGAGCCGTTATTACCAACAAGATACTTTTCTTGGCTTGTTTTCGTGGTGGAACAAAGTTTAAACTGTTGCAAACTTACTGACTAACAGCAATTAATTGTTTTTTTTTCCTAAAAAAAAGAAACCTGAAGCAATACTTCTTTTAAATTTAAATTTGAAACTATTTTGATTACATGCTGTTCAGAAAACGATTTCTGTTTCTTTAAATACAGTTCTTTGACAAAAACCAATGTTCTGCAGGACCCAACAGTTCCAACCATTACTGTCATTGTAGGCCTTTAAGGTTTAAGAAAGGTCAGACTAAAACAGTAGAACTTAAAACTAGCATTCTAGTGTTTTAGTCAACAGGACAGTTTAGAGTTTTTTTTTTTAGAAGAAAACGCTCTGGAGTGAATGTTTCCTCTAAAGAAAAGTTTCAGCAATCCCTTCCCACCAATACAAAATGAATTTTCTGGATGAAAGTGAAACCACCCCCCTCCTTTTATTTAACAAATAAGGTGCCTGCAGGGCACGGAAAACAGCTAATAACTGGTAGATATTGAACCTTCTGAAAATAAAAAGATTTGAAACACATGCATAATCTTCTTTTTTCAGCCTTTTATTAGTACAATGACATAAGTTCCTATCCAGTTACACAGCTTTTAAAAAAATTATGTTCCAGAAAGAATACAAACCAAAAGAAGGGCATATTTAAAGCCTAAATTACTCACATGGCCTCTCTGATATAAGTCWAATAAGTACATCAATATTCCCAAAGTAAAAGAAGTTTGGTCTCTCTATATAAGCTCTATAGCCGATCCAAAATTTGTCCCTAGGCATGAAACTCCCTCTTCACACACAACTGTAGTATCTCTGTTGAGTCTGCTGCTTCCTCTTTTCCCAAGCACTATGGAATATTTTCCAGTTTTCCTATTAAATACACCTAGGTTCTTGCCTACTGTCTTTTCTTCCCTTAAAAGACATGATTTGCACCAGTTCAGAAGTGAAGGTTTCATCTTAATAAGTGCTTGTTCAATTGTATTCCAAGATTTGCATGCTCGAATTCCATTTGGCAGCTATTAACTAGTTGGAGTTTCTAGGACAGGGTATTGCAAAGCTGAGATACAATGCTTAAAAAGCCATGAAGAGCAGGTGACAACTTCCTGGGCTGAGACGTTGCATGCAACACTCCAGAAAAAGTTTACTTTAGACATAATTGTTGCTAATGATACAGAAGATGATAGAAGTTAAACTATGGTCCAATTTCCATGTTCCATGAAATCTAGAAATTTAATTAAGAGATTTTGGTAACTGAAAGACACTTCAATATCCTGTACAAACTTCCTTAAACTCAAGATGACCTCTACGAATAACTGTTGCTCATGTTAAGAGAATAATATGAATCTATTTCTAACCTATATTTCTCTGCCATCTTTGTTTCCCAACTGCCAGGGCTTTTGATGTGCAGCAGAGTTGTACAAGGAACAAAATAAATGCAACAAACAGAACAGGCCTGAACTTTCCAAACGTGTTTTCTTTTCATTTGGATAGCTTTAGTAACTGCTGTATTAGCCAGGTATGGGCTACAAGCAAAGTCCCAGGCACACACACAAAGTCTCACGCTTCCACCTCCTCCTCCCTTACAATCCTGCCTATCTTCACTCCCACCCCATCTAGAAACCTAACTCCAGTAATGGAGCTGGCTCTCCACTTCCCTGCCTTCCCACACGCACATACTGGCACTTCACTGCCGCCAGTCCTCACCCGGCTCACCAGCGATGACTGCCTGCACAAAAACACTAATCCTGCTGCTCAGGTCAGCAGGTAGTTATGTGAACGTTATATAGCAGGTAGTTATATGGCCTGAGCTGCGGGATAAAGTTCTGCGTGCCGGCCATTAGTGATAGCGAGAAGGCACTTTTGTGAGAGCATTTGCCTTGCAGATCAGCTACACAGCAGCACATGCAAACACTCCTYTCCGCTGCAGGCAAGAGCTGCATCTGTGGCTGTTTGAAGTTGCTGCGCATCACAGTTACACATCTGGCAGCTCGGGAACCTAGAAATGAGTCAGCTTCATCCGATACACCTTTATGGGCGCAGGCGTTTTTAACTGGTTTTACACCAGGAGGTCATAAACATCTGAACATTGAGTTTTAGGAGGAGGAGAGAAGAGGAAAATCACGACATTTTCTTGTAATGGAACGGTGCTTTGCCCTCACAGGAACAGCAGGCAAACGGGCTCAGGACTCTGAATTCCTTCAGGCAGATGCCTATACAAAATCGCTCTCCAGGTCCCCAAGATGTCTTCTGTGCCACATAGTACTTCTTGCTCCGCGGTCATCAGCAGCGATAAATACCTAGGCAAGGYCCTGGGCTTGAATGTAGCAGCCTCACACAACAGAGCTGCAGCGAGWAGAGCGGGGAAAGACGAGGAAGAAGAGCCGCTCTCGGCACCCCSGGTAGCAGCGGCCTGAGCGGAGCGCGGCCGGAGCAGCACCGGGGGCGGAGAGCGCACCGCCCAGCCCCGGGCACAGGGAACGCGGCTCCCGGCGGGGCGGGGCCTGGGCCGGCTGCGACACCGCGGGGGCGGGCGGGGGGCGGCCGCAGCGGGGCAGAGCCGGGCCGGGGCGGCGCCGGGCGAACGGGCGGGGGAAGGAAGGAAGGAAGGGAGGGAGGAAGAAGAAGAAGGGAAGGAGGGAGCGAGCGACGCGGCGCCAGGTCGGAGGAGCTGCGGCCGCGCCCGTGCGTGTCGGCGGGCGGCCAGGATGGATCACCACCAGCCCGTCAGCCGCTACCAAGTGGTGAGTGCGGCTCCCCAGCGAGGCCCCGCTCGCCTCCCCCCGCCCCCTCGGGCCGGCGCGGCGGGGCACGGTGTGACCGGGGCGCCCTTCCCCCCGCCCCGGCCCGCGGCTCTCCTGCGCGGGGTCTGGCAGGAATCGGGATCGGCACCGGGACCAAGCGTGGCCCGTCCCACGGAGGGGCTCGGACAGCCGGGCCTTGCTCGGGCGGCTGGGGCTGCCCCCCTCGGCCCCCCGGCGGCCCCGGCCTCGGAGCGGGCGGCTGTCCGGCCTGCTCGGGAAGCCACCTTTGCCCGCCTTGCTCTGCCCTCCCCGGGCTCCCGCGGCGGCCTGTCCCGGCCCGGGGTCGGCGGGTTTTCCCGGGCGCCTCCCCCTGCCGGGAGGGGGTGGYGGCTCCTGGGAGAGCGTGGCCGAGGCTGGAGAGCGGGGCGCGCCGGGGAAGGAAGGGGCAGGGGGCCTTGTCTCTGCTAAGTACGTGCCGCGGAGCGAATCTCTGAAACCGTGTGATTTCTAGTAGCYCCTGGCTGGCTGGCTCAGGGATACAGTGCAAGGCCTCTATGAAGATTAGAGGGAGGGAGGGAAGTGTAAAACGCAGGGAGGAGATTGACCTTCAGTCTCAGTTGTGTGTGTGTGTATGCACATGCACGAGCACACTCTCTCAAGAACAGTCTGCAGTTTTGTGGGTCCCTGAGATATATTTTTCTTTCCGTCCTGAACTTAACCACAGAAGTAGTTACTTAGAATACAAAGATTTTCATCCTGCCCGAATTGATGGTCTTGTTTGTTTCTCGCCGTCATTAGTTTAATGTCAGTTACATAAATCTTGCAGTCATTAGCTTMATGTCAATTATACAAAATATATAAGCTTTGCTGATTATTTGGTGCAAAAATGACTTAGGTGCAGTCAGTCTCCTTGAAAGTTTCAATTTTATCTTTAAGTTCCTTGTACTCTGAGGCTTTGCTAAGAATGTTAAGATAAGGAAGTCTGAAATCTTTGTTACTGTCTGTGATTCAAATTTCTACTGCAGTCTTCTAGCTAAATCCTGAATTACTTATCTTAGTGTTCSTGTTTTACAGCTTGACTGGTGAAAAGAATGTCTACAGAAGTAATCAAACTTATTTCTGTGCATATGTAAACACTGGCACATATTCAGATTGTTTCTAGGTTATGATTTAAGGCAAAACAATAGGAAACGCTTATTGTATTTGAAATATGTATTTTGATAGGCTTACAGCATTTTAAGTTTTTGTACGCTTTTGGACACTGAGATGCAGGGATTGTCATAGAGCTGATGAGCACACCACGCACCATGTGACGTATGCCTTCAGGATGGCAGTTGGTTGCCAGCTGCTTTAAGGGCCATCGCTTTCTAGCGCACTTCTTTCCTTGCATTGTGCTTCTGCAATTTGAAATGAGTGGAAGTCGTAAAGTCATTCCTTCTTTGCAACAGAGAAGGAAAATGCTGGCACAACATTCTCACGAGAGCCTACMAACACTGTCTTCCCCGAGGCCTGAGGTAACCTGGGAATGTTTTAAAAGGCCTTGAAAGCATATGTTATTAAAGGTCAGGCAGATAGAAGGGAAACTTTAATTCAGACAAGTACAAAAAACACATGAAGAAATAATTTTTCTCTGTGATATTTTTATCTTCTGCTTGTTAGGAACTYCCAGTGGTGGTGCTGATGCCCAGCTTTGGGTAACCACTCTTTGGCGTGGTTACCAAAAAGGGCTTATCCTAGTATTTGACTGCATGAGTTGGCCTCCTCAGTTCACTGTGTATATTAAACTGTGTGTCATTTGTTGTAAATCAGTCTGATGTGTTCCAGTGTTTTAAGTACAGCCTTACTGATTACTGTCCCATAGGAAGGAGTGTATTAGTTTAGTTTCTTTGTTATATCTGACTGCTAGAGATTGAGATTTTTGTAATGTTGTTTACTTACTGTTTTGGGTCAGAGAAAGGAAGGAACAAGGCAATTGCAGATATACTTAATTAGGAGCTGATTATTCAAGCATGTGATCTTAAGTGTTGTGATGTATTTGCTTACATAATGACTGTGATAGGTACTAAGCAATAGATCATTGCAGATTTTATGGTTGTGTCCTAGTTTTTAAAGACAAAATACAGGAAAAAAATTACTTAATGTGGCTAATATCACATTTTATGAATGTTTTATGCAATTAGTTTTATGAAATCTGGTCAGTTCTGCAGTATTCACTATATTTTTTTCTTTTTTTTTTCCTTTCTCCCATGATTATTAATAAACACTTCCTGCTTGTACCCATTCTGCCTTYACTTCTAGCTGATCTGTTTGACTCTATTCAGGGCAAGTTCTCTTCTAAATAGGAAGATTTCTAGGTGTATGTTATTATCAAAAGAATTATTGACTTATGTTTCTGTTCCTGGCAGTAGCATTTCAGTGAAGTTGAAGGAGCTGTCTTTCTCTTTTTATTTATAGTTTCTTCAAGTAAGCTAAACRGAAGTACTTTTGATTGGCAGGCAATTTAGTTTTGACTTTAAGCACAAAAAGCCAATTTTTATAACTGACTTCTTATGAAACAGAAAATGTCTGATCRTGAAGCTAACCCTCAGCTTTTCTTATTTTTATCTCTGTTGGAAATATCTCTAAAGCTTCATTCTGCATCTTGTTCTTCTTTGTGTGTCTGCATTTTATTTACAAAGCAACTTACAAGTGTTCAAACCGGGCAGCTGTTAAAAGCTGGTACTTGGAATTGCAGCAGAGTAAGTGTTGTGAGCAAAGAGCAGGCAGTACGTCAGCATTACGTAACTATCTGCCGCGGGCATGTGGGACTTGTATTGCTCTCTGCCCCTCCTGTTTTGTCTCTCTTGCAGGGCAAAGAGACAAATAATTGATGGGCAAGAATTTGTCATGCTTCCCTGCAGGAGTATGACATTAGAAGTAAATTAGCCAACCTTTGTTGTCTTGCTTTACTTCCTTTTTTTCTTTTCCTTAGTCATTTGCATGACTGCATTCCTACTGGTAAATGTGTCTTAAATTTTATATTTGACATTCTTTGCAGGTATAGTCAGTGCAGCTGTATAATTTACTTGCTGTTCTAATTTTTCTGTTTCTTCCCCTATTCTCTTTGTTGGATAAGGCATCCTCTTTAGGAAAACTACAATAAAAATTCATCAGTAATCATTCTTCTGATTTTTACCTTCTAGCTCTTTGTTATCTGACCCTAATAGTATTACTGTCTGAAACGTTTCCTCCTAGTCCAGCCTGTTTTCAGAAAAAGTGATTGGAATAATGCTTTGTGAATCTGTACTGAAACAAAAGGAAATGTAGCTGTTTTCTGCAACACATAAAACTGAGAGAGCAACTAAGCATTAAAGATTSAGATTGCCTTTTTGACTTAGAAATGTATTTTTCCAGATAACTGAGTCATGAGGGAAGACTTCGTGTGCATATGAGTGATTTAGGCATGGAAATTGTATTGAAGGCTTCAGGATTTGCAAGCTGTACTGCTCAAAGATTATAATAACCGGTCTTTCTTGATTAAAGTTTTGGGTAACCAGTTTGGGGTCAGGTAGTCTTGAGTGTTTGACTTAGGGTTTGGTCAGAGCTAAATAGGTAAGTGGTAAAGTGCATAGGTARCAATGCGGATGGAGCCAAAGGCAGCTGGCTGCACAGATGTCAGTTCAGCTGTTACTGAACTTGCCATGCTACTATAGCACTTGGGTTTGGTGGGGTTTGTAAGTGATGTGTGAGGCAAGACTCTGAGATGGCAGCCTGATGTTGTATAGCACTACAAAATTATGGTTTCTGAATGGGATGTTAATCTTGTATGAGTGTAAACTGCGTGTTTTTTATAAATGGAGCTAAGAGATGAAAATTTGTACTTGTAAGCACTACAGCACAGCACAAGCTCAGCTTTTGTATCTGTGTTTATTTCTGTATCTTTAACTCCCTTGTCGCTGGCTCCTTACTCTCACAAGATTACTGGGGTTTTACCTTGAGCTAAGGTTTTTCGCTTGATTAAAGTCATCTTTGTAGCTCTTCTGAAAGTCAACCTACGCAGGAAATGTGAACAAAGAAAAATGTCCTCCTTCTTACTTTCTTTTAAGGGGACTGAGCCTAACAGTGATTGGCAAATAAATGCCCAAGTATGGGTTATTCTGTGCTTTGGTATAAGACCACTAGCTTATCTCAGTATATCTACTGTATTTTCTCCAGTGTTTTTTATCTTAGGAAAACTCTTACRTAATTGGTGTTATTGAACAGCTCAAGCTAGCTTGTGTTAGGGAAATTCTGTCGCTTTCCACAGATACGGGGTGATGTCGTAACTGGAAGATAAAATACTGCATCTAGAGGACTATGTTTATAATACTGAAAAGTACTGAGGGGAGATGCATTAGGTGATAAGTCTTACAGTTATTTGCTTGTGACAGTTGCACTGATATTTTCAGTGATAAGAGCTTCAATCATTGAGGATACAATTTTTCATTTCACTGACTTTTTGCACATGGCACACCTAGTATAGACTTTTAATAGCTTAGAAAAGCCAATGAGGATATCCTGAAATTAGGCAAATGACACTTTCAGACAATGATCTGTCCTTGCATCTTAGTTGTTTTTTGGAATGTAATAATAGACATTTAAAATTTTTGATTTATTTTTGTGACACCTGTGATAGATTTCTCTATTAAACAGTAGGGGGATTTTTTTTAAGGAATAGCTTTAATATTTTTGTAAACATTTTTTCCCTGTTTTTAATGAAGAATCCTGCCACAAGCAGGAAGAAAAGAAAAAAGGAGAAAAATGATAGAGGTAGACATTTGCAGACACAGTAGGGATACAGTAGGGACTACATTTTACTCTTTTTTTTTTTGCTTTTTAGTTAAGTTTCTAAATACTTTCTCATTTTATAGGAACAAGGAAATAAACTTCAAATCTCTCTGTATGTTGCTCCAAAGTAAAATTGGTGAGGTACTAGACAGGTGCAATACTTTTTGTGTAAATTTAAAGCATGGTGGTTTAAC